TAACCTGCTGGCTGAAGTGGTAGGTGACTTGGTTGTTGACCTGGATAATCTGTTTGGTGACTTGATGTGTGTTCTGGGATAACGGGGCGGTGACTGATATGGGATTTTGGTCACAGAGCGCGAGGGAGGAATCGTGTGTGTTCTCTGGTCACTTTACTTGTTTTGCCTACTCTTTTTCTTAAATTCATTCTTCTTTTGTTTTGTTTCTTCTTCGTTTCTTTCTCCTTTGTATCCTTGTTTTCTTTTTATCATTCTTTTCATCTTCTTATCCTTCTTATCCTGCTTTTATTTTTCTTCTTCTTCTTCTTCTTCTTCTTCTTCTTCTTCTTCTTCTTATCCTTCTTCTTCGTCGTCGTCTTCTCCTTCTTTCCAATCTGTTTTACTCTCCCCCATCTCTCTCTCAGAAAACGGTGTCAAGGAAACATCAAAAAGTGCATTCACAGCAAAAAAAAAAAAAAGAAAAAAAAATTAACCTCCTTTCCTCTTTCTACTCCCTCTCCTCCCTCCTCTCCCGCCTCCCTCCCTTCCCCTTACCCCTCCCCTACCCCTCGCCTTAACCCTGCTCCTCCCCCCTCTTCCCCCCCTCTTACTTTACCCCCTTTCCCCCCCCCTCCCCTTACCCTTGCCTACCCTCTTGCCCTCCTCCCCTCCCAACCCTACCCCCTTTCCCCCTCTCGCCCTTCTCCCCTTACCCCCCCCCCCTTGCCCCTGTTCTCTGCGGACGGACCTAATGACAGAAACAACAGAACCGCCGCCCAGTTTATGCAAACGAGCGTATTATGGGGTCAATGAGTAACAATACGAAGAGGGGGAGAGGGATAACGATAGATAGATAGATGGAGAGATAGAATGATGAGTAGATAGATGGCTAGATAGAATAATGAAAAGATAGATGGATAGATAAAATGATGAACAGGTAGGTGGTTAGATAGATAATATGGTAGAATGAGGAATAGATAAATGGATAAATAGAGAGATAGACAGGCAGACATACGGACTGACAGACAGATGTTGATATAGATAAACAGATGGACACCCACACATATACGTACTGTACATGTATGTGTAGATAGATGAAAATAATAAGTGAGAGAGAGAAAACTTATCTGTTTATTTGTTAATCTGTCTGTTTATCTACCTTCCTATCTGCATACTTGCTTACCTACTTATCCGTCTATCTTTCTAGCTTACAGGTGTCTCAATTTAGGCCTCCTGGTTGGATACATTTTAAAAGTATTCATGTGCCAGAATGTAAATAAGCAAAAATGTATATTCATTTTCTGAGCCAGACTTATGTGACAGGAGAAAGTAAACACACAAACGCGCTTGTCTATCGAGAGCGAAGGAGGCGAGAAGGCAGAATTGGAGGCGCTCCCCGGCCGAGCCCTGAACCGCGTCCATTCACTACTCGTTCACTCACAGAAGCCCCCGTCCGTGCCTCCGAGTCCCCGCCGCACGCCGCTCTTGTTTATCCCGTAATGAGGCAGCCAAACAAAATGCCAGTTACTCCTCGTTGAGCATGATCCCCTGGCGTTGTTCCCTTCACAAGGGAGGATTATTCATGATGTTCCTTGTCCCCCTCCTTCTGCCCCTCCCCCCTCCGACTCTCCTTCTCCCTTCCTCTCCTTCTGCCCCTCACTCCCTCTCCTTCTGCCCCTCACTCCCTCTCCGTTTCTCCTTCCCTCTCCGTCTCTCCTCCCCCCCCCTCCCTGTCCGTCTCTCCTTCCCCCTCCCTCCCTGTCCGTCTCTCCTTCCCTCTCTCCCCCTCTCCGTCTCTCCTTCTCCTCTCCTCTCCTTCTGCCCTTCTCTCTGTCTTTGCGGTCCTGCCCCCTCCTGACCTTCTTTCTTTCCCTCTCCCTCATTCTGACCTCATTTCCCTCGCTGGTCCTCCTCTTTCACCCTCTCTCTCTCCCTTGCGTCTCCACTCCTTCCTTCTATCGTTTTTATTTTCCGTTCGTCGTTCCTCCGTTTTCTTGTCGTTCCCTCCTCTTCCCTCCTTCTTTTTGGTCTATATATCCTTCTGCCTCTCTCCCTTTCTTTGTGACCCAATCTCTCTCTCTCTCTCTCTCTCTCTCTCTCTCTCTCTCTCTCTCTCTCTCTCTCTCTCTCTCTCTCTCTCTCTCTCTCTCTCTCTCTCTCTCTCTCTCTTTTTCCTCCGCGACTCCAGCCCTCCGTCCTCCTGCCTCCCCTCCCTTTCCTCCCTCCTCCCACCCTCTGTTCCCCATCGTCCCCACCCTATTCCTCCTTCCTCCCTCCCTCCCTCCCTCCCTTCCCCCTTTTCTTTCTTCCCAAGCTCTCCGTTCATTCCTCTTGTCCTCGTGTGCTAGAGGATCACATGATACATATATTTTTCCTAAGGTTAGCTAGTGCTTATTAGTGATTTCCAGGGATTCCTCTTTCTTATATATACATAAACACACAAACACACACACATATGTATATACATATATATATATATATATATATATATATATATATATATATATATATATATATATACATACATATATATATGCATATATGTATAGATGCATATATATGTATATATGCATATATATATGTATA